TATTTAGAGAAATTTGACTTGATTAAACAATCTATTTAAATAAACTCTTTTTCTCGTTAGGAGTTCTATTCCTAGGTAAAGTTTGTGTGTGCAGTTCGAGACACCTATATTTAATAAACGCTAAATTAATTATTTTCAGTCGTTTCATAAAAACGAATTTCTTAAAATACAGTGTGAACCATTTCGAATAGAATCGCACTTGCAAAAAAGGTATTTACTGGCCGATTTAAATTAACATTTGAATTTATTTTCAATTGTCAACTTACGCTTTTTATTTTTTTTTATTGTTATCAAATTTGACAAAAATTGGTTAGCGAATTGTTTACCTAAAATCTGACTACGCCACTGGAATAGATAAAATAATACGCATTGCAATGTAATTACACCAAATAACTCCTCAGTATTTTGTCAAGGGATGTGTAAAGATTACTTTTAAACTTTAGTAACATCAAAATTTTTTTTTTATTGTTTTTGAGTCTTGAAAATTACCGTTTTTGCATTTTTTCGTACTTTAAATTGTTTATAACTCGGAAACCGTTGATTTTAGGAGCATAGTGCATAGGAACTATTTTGTTTAGAATACCCCTAAAAACCTATAAAAAAACTTTGTCCGGAGCAAAACAAGTAATTTTTGCAATTTGTTTAAAAAAATTAGTTTAAACAAATTATGACCATGTTACCGGCCGGTAACATTTTGATCCTCATTCAGGGACATCTCACGTAGGTGATTATGCAAAAAAATCAAATCCACTAATTTTTTCATACGAAGTCTAATTTATCTCGTGAACTAATAATAAATCTACATTTTAGATAATGAAGACCTTTTTTATAGCAAATTTAATTTTTTAAAAAATGTCATCGACGTTTTTGCTGTATTCATTTACGAGAAAAATGCAAAAATCGATAAAAATTAACTTTACGATTTTTGAGCAATGAAACCGTTCAAGACACATAGATCCTACCATGGGCACTTTCAAAGGACAAAGATTCCCCTATAATTATCGAATATGGATAATAAAATAACGTGCAGCTGAGATATAGATATTTAAAAAAAACTGAGGTTTACGTGTTATATGAATACGAAACTTTTAAAATCAAATAGCGGGTAGGTAGGTACTTAAAATTAAAATTAAGATCTGAAATTTGGTGAGAATTTTTCCAGTGTTTAAAACAATGGAGCGAAAAGATAAATTTACTTTTCAAATGAAGCGCCCCAATTTACACTACATACATAAATTAATGTAGGTTAGAAGGTGTGAACTATGTATAATTTTTGACAATAAAATATATTTAAAAAGAAAAGAAATAAAAGCACTTCAATTCTGGGACCAGAGGTTCGAGTCCTGTATAAGCCCACTTCATTTCTTGGATTAATTGTTAAAGTTATTGTAGAAAATAAGTCCGTTAAGGAATCGAGAACGGGAATTCTTTATATAGAGAGCGTTAGACGTAGGCATATGTATTGTGCATATACTGAATATTTAATTAAAGTTACTTTTTATTGGATCATCTCGTATATTTTTAGAAAATATCTTACATTATTTAGGTACAACAAAATACCCTTGTTTAATTTGTTTCATATCACTTGATATGTCAAATTAAAAAAATCATTAGTAGTAGGAAGAGTATAGTTATTTTATTAAAGAACGAATTTTATAAACGTGAACTGAATCACTATCCTAAATTTAGAACAAAGCACGAGCAACTCAACGTAAAATTCAAGGCCAGCATGAGTCATAATATATGTACAGGAGTCTAAGTGTTATTGTAAACTTTTCCTAACAGGTTCGTTAGCTCAGTGGTTAGAGCACCGCACTCGATTCTGGCCGCGGAGGTCGTAGGTTCGAATCCTACATGAGCCCACTTTTTTAAATCCTTGTCACATTTCTTTAATTTTTAATCTAAGTTTTCAAGATTTTAATTCAAGTAAATACCATTGTTTAATTTATTTTACTTGTTTCACATGTCAAGAAAAATCATGTAAAGTGAAACCAAGGATTATAAAAAAAAAAACACCAATAAATGCAAATTTTTAGACTCCTTTACATATTGTACAGAGCTTTCATAAATGGTTACAAGCCACATGACCATCGAGCAATGGCAATCAGCAATTCAAGGTTGATACTTTCAACTGAAAATCCCTAAACCTCAGTGGTGTGGTTGATTTTTTAAATTAATTAACGTTTAAGGATTAACATTAAACTTATTACATACAATTTGGTTTACGCTTATGAAAAATACTGTTTTTTCGTTGAAATACTTATTAAAAGGAAAAAATTATCAAATTTCATTTGTTAATGAACAATTTGCAAGTTTTTATTATGAAAAGAAAAACATGATGTGAACCCATTAGTTTATTACTTTTTAAATGTAATTGTATTATAAAAAAATTACACTAATTTACAAACCTATTGCTCTAATACTATAAACATTACCTATTTCGGTGTAATACAAAATAAATTCACTCATAAATTAGAAAGCTATGCTCCCATATTTACAATAAAAAAAACTTATTACGTTCTGTGGTGTTCTTCACTAACTGTGCAAAAATTTACACTGGTGCATATTTTCATACACATTTTACAGCTATTGTTTAGTTAAGTATATTGTTAATTTCTTCAATAATTGTTGTTTGTAATTCTTCGACGATGTGCATTGCTATTTTAAAAATAATATTTTTATTTATTTTTATTTATGCAGTGTGTCCACGGATGGGTACCGCACTTTTTTATACATTTTTGTTGATAATTTTTCGAGAACAAGTTATTCTTGATAAAAAGTTTTGCTTATCTTGGGAATCCATGGGCAGTAATCAAATATGTAATAAAACATGCAAGGGCGTCCAAACAATTTCAAAATGTGAAATTTTCCCCAAGCAAAGTGTCTTTAGTTTTTGTTTTCGTTAAAAACTGTATTTGACAACGTTGTTCAAGAACTCAAGAAATGATTAAATACGAGGTTTAGTCAAAAAAGAAGAATAATCACATTTTGCAAATAAGAAGACTCGATACAGAAACTGTAAAAAATAAGTACCTAAACTTTTATTTTAAATTTAATGTAATATAAAAATAGCATGATAGAACAATTTTCAAACCACATCATTAGTTGTGGATGTTGATTCGTCAATAAATAAAATATTGCGATGAAAGAATCTGTTTTCAATCAATTTCTCGTCCATTGTTAAACAATAGTCCAAACAACGACCATCATCTCCATCAAGCAATTTATGATAAACACGGTTTGAAAGGATAGATTTTGTTGTATATTAAAATTCTTTGAATATGATATCTGCTAATATCTATGTTTTCTGTCTTGTACAGAGTCCACAACTAGAACAGTAGCAGTGTCGTTATCATTGTATTCTGTTTTTATCTTTTTAATATTCTTTACATCACCAGAGGCATCGAATTTTATAATTAGCTTGCGAACTGCTCTACGAGTTACAGTTACATTTGGATACTTTTCATAAAAACAATTGTATTGAATATCGATATGGAACATAACATTTCACAAGATAAATTCGTTGCTCGAGGGTTAACATTATTAATAAAATTTATTTGGTGGGTGGTTGACTTTCACATTGATAAATATCCATGGTAACTGCATGGTATGTAAGGCAGTTAAAAATTGCGGCATCTTTTTATTTGCAAATAATTATTGTTCATTTCTGACCAAACCCAGTATTTAAGCGTTTTTTAAGTTCTTGAACAGCTTTGTTAAACATACTTTTTAACGAAAAAAAAAAAAAAAATTAAGGCACTTTGCTTAGCGAAAATCTCAGTTTTTGGACGCCCGGTATGTTTAGCTACTTGATTATTGCTCAAGGCTTCCCAAGATAAGCAAAACTTATCAGGAATAACTTTTTCTCAAAAAATTAACAATAAAAAAGTTTATAAGTGGGTAGTAGGTACTGCATCCGGGGACACACTGTATACCTTACTAAGAAATCAATAGTGTTCAGCAAATTTGAAATATGCATACATATAAATTAATCACCCAATAATATTTATTTAATAGCGACAAATTTTCCTGTAATAATTCCTCTAAGTGATACAATCAATAATAGTTTCTTCCAATTGAAGGTTTTAGCAATTTTTGGCATCGTTGGAGTATATAGAAGCGACGAGTTTTATAATAAGCGTTGATGATAAGAAGATATTGATAATAGAGAAATTTCCAACGTCAGGAACCTATAAACCTCGAACATGATCCACTCTTTATTAGCTAACGTAATGGAAAGTATTCTTTCTGTTCAGTGCATTTGGGCAAATGCCCACTGAAATTGCTAAATATCGTGGATCACGGAATCCACAGGATTATATGGATCACAGTTCCTGCAACTTCAACATACTTGCAGATGCAGGAGATGTTTTAAAGTTAAAGAGACATAGTGGCTGGAAGTCATCGACACACATGCGCTGAAATCTTATGCAGAAGAAATGGATAGTCAGCTAGCTAAGGAAACTATCTCAGACAATGACACTGCCATTACCACTACTGATATACTGTCTGCTATATCGAGGAGTTATGAGTTCCCTATTGGAAATTGTGTTAATTGTACATACAATAGATGTACACATTATTAAAAATTAATAGTAAATAAAATACTGACGTCCTTACTCTTTAACAGAAATCATGCAATAAAAGCGTGCAATAAAAATTTTTGTTGTACAAACTTATAAAAGCCAATTTTTTACATTGGAAATTATGTAAAAACTGTTAGATATGACAAGATTGTAAACATAAATTACTTCTGGACATTTGAGGATTAATTACAAACATTCCAGTCAAATTCAGCTTTTTAATTGAAGTGGAATAAACAGATCGACTATCTATAAGAATAAACTAGGAAAACTACAAGTAAACTATCTACCTCACCAAAAACCTCCTCCATAATTACCGCCCACACAAAAATACTATAGTGTTAGAAATTTGTACCTATTTACACCTCCAAAAGTTAGAGAATATTCAATTTTGAAGACTTACGAGTAGGATCAAACAGGCTTTCGGAACTTTTTCCTGTCTCTCGGGGCGCTTCGAGGGTGCCAATGGACAAGCCGTCATTCCTGCCCTTTTTGGCCGCTCCCCGAAAACAGCAGCCCCTCAACAGACCATCGCAGGGCTGGTCCAGCAGCCCGCCCGACAGCCAGCACGACAGAAAGAACTCACAGGTGGCTCCAGGTGAGCAAAACTCGTACGCCCCTGGTAAAATGACTTAGATTAGTTGACATTGCGAGATTTAGAATTGAAGAATTTTTTTCACAATTAAATTTGAAGAAAACTAATGAAACACTTGTAAATGTTTTCATTCGAGATTTCCTAAACACAAATTTAGGATCCCACAAAAACGATTGAAAGACCTACATTATAGACTTTTAAGATTTACAATAGGTGTTTTAATGATAGTTTTATATTAGATACCCATCTACAAATAGCATTATATACAACGATACGATAGTTTTAGTTAAAAATTAAAAAAATATATGTATATCGAGCGTTTCCAAATTAAAAACTTTTCTCTAACTTCAATATGTAAATTTTCTCGTAAATAGATTCTCAGTATTAAACTAGAGTACATACTTTAAGTTTATTCTTCAGAAAAATATATTATTTGATCGAATCTCCCATGAACCAGTTTTTATACACAAAAATACGTAAAAGGCTCTTGTATCTCCACCATTGTAAGTGATGAAAAACTATTCCTCCATAATATTATTGCAATCGACAATGTGTTCTACAAAATCATACTAATCGACTCGATTCTACAACTGCGATACTTTGGACTTTAATACACACGATTTAAATAGTAGGTATGTATAGTGCGAAACAGTTAAGGTAATTCCTCGTTGAAAACTAACCCATTCGCTCCCTCACTGCGGATATAATGGCTCCCAAATGAGAAGATAATTTAAATTTTATTTATTTTTTCCTTGAATTTGGAGAAAGTTACAAAAATTAAATTACTATCACCACAAATAATTTCTTGCACAACATAGCATTTAAAGATCTGTTTTAGGTAGCTTGCTCTCTTTGAAATCTCTTCTATTTTTCGTTTTCGTAAATGTAATAATTTTTTAACCAAAAAATAAAATGAACCATAGTTTTGCCCTGCAGGAAAGCTGTTATTAGAATAAAATTATATCGAAATTGAATTGAAAGTAGCCTTAATTCTATATGAAAAATCTTAAAATATAATGAAATGTTAGAAATAATCCACTCCCTCCTACCATTACACAAAATTCCATACATTGAAATACCGATCCACATATCCAGTTAAGAATTCCTGGACAATTTTGAATTACCGCAGATAAATCAATACTACAGTTTCGCAATGTTTGAATATCTTGCACAGGTGTCTTGTACTCTGAAGTTGGCGCCATATACAAAAGTTTGTAGGATTTAAACAGGGTGTCCGAGTAGGCCAAAACTGAGGTTTGTCACAAAATACACTGCAATTACTTCTTTGAGAAAATGAATGTAGGTATGTGTATTTCCATTCAATCTAGAAGACAGGAATTGTGGGCCAATTAACGGGTCTCCAAAAATTTCAATCCACGCATTCAAAGATAACTATTGTTAAGAAGGACCAACAAAATCCATTGAGAAATTGCAGGATATTACGAAAAATCTCTGTAAAAGAGCCTGCAAGTGAAAAAAATATAATAACTGTCTTTTTAAAATGACATGTTCCCTCAAATGGTTGATATTTAACTTCATAGCAATTACGCTACTGCTGGTGTCAGGTTCTTTATCAGAAAAATTGCTTCTTCTAAAGTCGATGTTATTTTCGCGGTAAACCACAATCATAAGTTCGTTTCTTGAACGTTCTAGTTTCACTTTACCAGGAAGGCGTACAAACAAGGTGTGATGAGGAGTGATATGTTGCGAATTCATTTCAGCGTAAAGATCATTAGGTACTTTTGGCAAGATCTTCGATGAAATGCGTATTGGTCGGCGTTAGTGTATTTTTGTATATTAAGTAAATGATTCAAATTTGCACAAAAAAGTACTCAAAATAACAAATAATATTAACAATTAGTAACTATCAACTATTTGACAATCGCTTGCTACAAACTTTTCATTTTTATACCCATATGCAGAATATGAGGTGTACACCACAGACAAAATAGTTATCGCCCCAGACCGCTACTGGAAGTCCTTATGTGGAAAATAAATTTCGGAAACAAGAGGTGCGTGAGGTGATACAGTAAAAAAGGTCTTATAACTCAGAAACTGTGCGTTGAATCGAAAAGGTTCGAAGTTCGTATGTCGAAAAATAAAAAAGTTAGTCAAAAATTGCAACAGCAGTAGCAAACGCATTATCTTATTTATGTAAGAGATCATTGATTGATGATTTGTTGTTTTTTTTTAAATAAATTTCGTATTCAACTAGTTCTTGAGGTTCTAGCAATTTTACATTGTGTTAATTTGTTTGAACACCTTGTGTCACAAATATGAGCACTACCAATTGTATCCATGACATGCAACACTTGTGTCAATAATTATTTTACCTATCTAAAGAAATCAACAATAAGAGAGCAGTACCCATCTGAGGATACACAACCTGTATAATGCAATTTTTTTAAACATAAGTGTTAATGTCGTACCAAATTGGAAGTCGACGTACAAATCTAAAAACATTAATTTCAAGTTTTTGAATATGTCCCATTCCAAGGTGATATAAAATAAATAATTAATTAGGTAAATTCATAGTTTTAATTCTAACTTGATTTATTTTATTTAGTATTTAACACAAATGTAATTTCCAAACAAAAAATAAGTTTCATATATCTTTAATTACATAATAATTGAATGCATTAAATTTATTTGGCAGTTATTATTTGGCAACAAAGCCACCGCTATAGAACTGCCGCCTATTACTAATTGTAAGTTAAAAAGTTACCGTGCTAATATTGCTGGATGCCAGCTAACAAAAGCCTGCATCCTTTTCGGGTTGCCAATTTCCAGCATTTAACACGCAGTCTGTGGCGATAAGCTATATTGTCTGTGATAACACAATTAATTTTTTTGTTCAAAAAACTATTACATTTACGAAAAAATAAAATAATTCAAATTTGTTTCTAAGAAGTTAAGCTAAATAAACCATAAATCTAAGTTAGATATAGGAGATGGGAAACAAGTTACGTAAGAAATTAGATGTAAAGGTGGTTACTCCTAACTACAGAGTAAATGCTTTTTCGATAGTAGAGAAAGACCACGCAATTTTATTTTTGTAACTTCATACTTTAGGAAACAATAAAAATCTAAATTTTCTCTTTCCGTTCGAAGGGCTATGGATGCGCAGGAAGGGAGCGGAGATATTTTTGTACATGTAGACCCTCCTTTATATTACCTGAAACTTAGGGCTACTCAAACGAAAAACAACATTTTTTTGTTCAAATATACTGTGCACTCCGGTGAAAGTAATAGCGTGGAGTAAAAGAAAACAGTGAAATGCACGATTTTTATTTCATGGCAGAAATTTGAAGCATTTAATGTAAGTTCGTTCTACCATTGCATATTTTTCATTATTTACTAGTTTAAATAACATATGAAAACATTTCATATGTCAATTCTCAAAAAACTACTGGAATGTAAAAATTAATTAATTAAAGATATACCTATAAATTTTGTAGATAAATTAAAAACAATCACATCAGTATAGGGAAATGAAAAAAATTTATAATAAATAATCTTAAAATATTGAAATTTATATTATTTCTCATTGTCACTGGAATCTTTTCAATTTACCGTTATACAAAACGGCAGCTGTCGATGAGACACGTAAATTCTAACGAGTTTCTTGCATAAGATTTAAAAATACCGCAAACCATCCGACAAAACTACGGCCTACTGGTCATTCACATTCCACGTGTAATCCGTAGCTCTGACAAAGAGTCATTTCGTATGATGGGAAACCATTGTCCTAAAGACTATATTATTTTGATTTGTTAAAACGGATCTATTCCTTCGAAATTATTCAATCATCAACTTTATTTTCCTAATTTGAATGAAAATATACATCTCAGGAGTAGCTCTAATAAAATGAAACCATCTGAATTTGTACAATTACTGGAATTCATTGTGTTGTCTTGCCAGAATCTTTGAAATAATTTGGCTAAATTCAAGTAACTAAATTACATGCATGGAACTCGGTATGGAAATAATAACTTACTAACTCTTAATTATTTTCTCGCACTTAATAAAGAATAAGTTTAAAATATCATTATTCGAATAATTATTCACTTCATTCATTTTTAGGAACACATAAACGTCAGTGAGTCTTTTTTTTGTGCTCTGACAGGGCATAGTCTTTTGTTTTCACAAGTAATTATGAGTTTCTTACACCAAACATGTCTTTTCACATTTTTAACAGGAAAGTGGTGATAAATCACAAACCATCAAGAATAACTGTAGCAACCCTTGTATGTACTGACGTAAATTTTTCTAGTGAATCCAGAAATGCGAAAATATACAGGGTGATCCATTAAAAAAATAACACACACGTTTGAATTTCCTCGGGTTGGTCAATGAGTTTTCAGGGCCCTTTATAAAACTGGCTAATTTTGAAAACATCGTAACCCCATGACTTCTTTGATCCATAATATTGCTTAACTAACATAACTGCTTCTGAGGCATATATATTTTTGGCCAACAGTGCCGCATGCAATTTTTTTTAAATCGCTTTATCTCGAAAACGACTAATTTTAAATATGGAAAAGTTTATACAAAGTGACCCTAAAATTTAACGTAGAATCTAAAAATTCAATAATATACAGGTGTTCCATTTAAAATAACAAAGTTGGTGGCAACTTCCGGTATAAGCGGAAGTGCAACAGTTTTTAAAATATTTTCATTGAAAAGTTCATAGACGGTAACCTGGGTATTTAAATTTTCAACAAAATCCTATCATGGTAAATTCGTATCCTTCTAATAAATCGCTTGCGTGAATAACCCTGTACTGGTTTACTTTATTGGCAATTGATTGTCTGTAATCTTAAACCGATCTTAACCCAGACCTGATCGGGTCAAATGTACACCGGATTCGGATTCAAAGACCCTAAAAACAAATAGGTACCATGGTCCTGTCTTTCGGACCTCCCATTTTTTTATGAGGCTTATTATTTAAATATGCGAAATACCATAGTGACTGTATCACTACGCGGCCTACTATAAATTCATTTGAGTATCGATTTTTCATG